TGGAAAACACTGGAACAAAAGCCTCTCAACATAAAGATTTAAGTCACTGTGAAAAGCTTAAGAAACTCTCATTAACCTGAAGCATAAGAACTGAAGTCTGTGCATGTACTGGTTTTACCTCAGAAATTTCAACCCCTGATTTCATCTGACCTTTCCCCTCTTTGTTAAATAAAATATTTTGTTATTTTTGAATTTCAAAATGCCTCAAGTGTCTTTTAAGTTGTTTAAGTTAAAGCAGGCTCCTGATCCTTCCCACAGGTTCCTGGGCTGAGCCAACAGCCAAAATATCATACTGTGACAGGGTGGGACAGCCAGAGTTCTTCGGCAAAGGAGAGAACACATTACTAGAGTAGCTCAGTCAGTAAAGAGAAAGAGAAATGGGTGTGTTAGTCATTAAGGTGCCATAAGACTTTTATGTTAGATCTTTGCTGATGAGAAACCTAATTTGTTTCTGCTCTGCTCTTTGTGTGGCTGTGTTTCTGGTTTAACATATATTGTTGTAAGGCATATGCACAGTATTTTCTTGGATTCATTCCTGTATATGATTCTACCTGATTATTTCTTGTCAGAGTTTCTTTTGTTTGTACTTGTAAGATACTATATTAGGGCTGTCACCTGATTAAAGAAATTGTTAGTTAACTATGAGGTTTCATTCAGTAATTGATTAAGCTGCATAAATTTGCATATGAATGAAATACTGGTTTTGAAGCAAAAAAGCAAACTTTATTTTTTAGATTAGGCATGTATGTTGCACAGGTGGTTGCCATCTTTGAAGAGGCATTCCCTCCTGGGTGAGATAAAGGAGAATGCCTCTTCTAAGATCATACGTGCAGCTTTTAAAAGTGCTGATATTTTAAAGTGTTGCCTGATTATTGAGTGAGGGAGATATTATAGTCAATAAAAAGATTTTAAAATGATTTCCTGAGATGCATGATATATTCTCATTTGGTGCATGCACGCATTCCTGCACGCACGCACACACGCACGCACACATTTTTGTACAGATATGTAAATGGACAGACATATCCACACTTATAGGCGCTTACACATATGCAAACAATGCTGTAATCCTCCATTAAATATTTTAATTGTCATATTAAAATAAAAGTTCATTTAAGAGACCTTTTTGAAAATTTAACTGGTGGGGAAGTGGGTTCTTGATAGTCTATGCAGTATCAGATCTGGATTGAGACAGACTGTAGGATTGCTTTCGGAATCAGGAACAGGACCTGGCCTCAGCTGCAGCAGTCAAGCAGAATCTAAATGAGGCAGATGAGGCCAAGGCAGCAAACCAGGGAAGTCAGGCAGGTGATCATATCCTAAGTACATTCAGAGTCTTGTTGAGGAGACCTAGCAAATGAGCCTAAAAGAGGAGCTACTGGTTGACAGGAGACAGGCAAGCATTGGGACTGGATGCAGATGGATGGCTTTGGAGGACAGCAGAAAGAAAGAATCTGCATCGAGCAGGAATACAGTGATAAAGAGATGAGGATATATATTGGAGAGAGTATGCACAAGGCACTACTTCATATTCCAAACACTTTGGATCAGGGTGCACATGTCTAGATTTCATCTGATTGTGTAGACAATTTTGCATTATGGATTAATCAAATACTATTTTTAATGATCCAGCCAGACAACTACAGAGAGGTAGTCTCTGATGACTGTCATTTATTCACAGCTAACTGCATTCAGAGAATGAGACAAACACCTCCTCTTGATGAACTTCAACCTCCACCATACCAAGATGACAGTGGCTCGCCGCACCTTTCGTGCACACCCTCTGAAGTTGGGGACAGCAAATGTGAATTTTCTCAGTGCAGCAACAGTCCAAGATGTTCATATAAGTGCCCAAGTGAAGGAAGTACTGGCCATGAGATAGAAAGTTTCCATAACAAAGGATACGAAGAAGATGTGCCCAGTGATAGTACCGCTGTCCTTAGCCCAGAGGTAATAAAATAATGTTTCAGTTGTATTGAAAATGTGCAGGATATAATGAAATAGAATTGCTCTGTTGCTTTGCAGGAGGGGTCCCCAATCACTTTGAGTCTATGAGCACTTTTGGAATTTTAACGATGGGTAGTGAGTATCACCATAAAATGGCTGCTATGGAGGGTAGTCAGAAAATGTTATGGGGTGCTGGGGCCATCACAAATTTGGGAGGCTGCAAGGCAAGTATCCTCCTGTGAAGGCAGTAGCTGTTGTTGAATGGGTGCTTCCTGCTGACACAAAGGGTTTTTCTGAAGCACCTTGTGCTCCAGTGCCCCACCAGTCCTGTGCTCTACCAATGCTCAATGGAGCAGCAGGAGAAAAAATGAGGAGGGAGATGGTGTTGCGTAATGCAGTGATGCCACTTCTGGGTCTTCATCCAGAAGTGACATCACTATGTCAAGCAACGCTTCCTATCCCCATGCTCTGCTCCTAAGCTCTCCAGCCTTTTTTGTTTAGGGGGAAAGAAGCCTTGTCAAAGAAGCAGGTGGGCACCTGGAAGCCAATTAACAGGCTTTCAGCACCACTTTGGGGGTTACTGTGTTAGAGTCTAGTTTGGCCGTAAAAGTGGGCCTCACGAATTGTTTCTACAATTTCTAGTTGAGACACAGGCAAAAGGATTTTTTAAACCTCTCATTCCCATGTGAGTCACAAAAAGAACCAAAGCCTCCATCTGGGATCATCTTAAAGAGCCTTTTGTGGCTTGGTACATGTAGAAGAAAGCAGGTGAGGTGTATGTTTAAGGAGCAGAAGTCCTAGAGATTTAAAATTGTGCTGGAGGCCAAAAGGGAAGCTCTTAAGCAGAGTAGAGCCTCTAAGCTGCAAGATTTCAGAATATGTGTTCTAACTCCAAAATTCTACCAGGAGGCAAAATTCTAATACATATGGTAAAATGATCTTGTTCTGTATGATCTTGCTCTTTATAATGCTGTCTGTGGTATTTCATTTTGGATACCAGGCCTCTCTTCACAATCCTCTTTTCTTCTTCACCAGTATGTACAATTTATAAAAAGGAAGCTTTGCAGTTACTGGTATAGAAACGGTTATATGGGCTCTTTTTATACTGAAGCACTGATGTTTCATACAGAAGCTTTTGATTAGAATCCTTAACATTTCTAAAAAAGATAAATACGTTTTCTTTTGTATGAATGATACAGGCAGTTTTGCTACACTTGCATGACTCATTCTTCCTCACAATTATTAATGTGCTTGGAGAACATAAATATGCAGCATACAAGCACTCTTATTGTATTTCTAGCACAATGAATTTGCTTGCCATGTAGAAAATACTACTGTGATTGGTCACCTGAATTAATCCCTAGATAGAAAATATTACAAACTGTTGCCTATTTGAGGGTACAATCCATGAGAAAAGAGATGAAAAATGTATTTAATACTAGGCTGGCTTGATGATCGCTTTGTCTCAGTCTAATCTACCTCACAGGTTTCTTGTCGTTAGAATAAAATAGAGGAGAAGAAAATGTTCTCCCATTGGGGAGAAAGGCAGGGAAGTAAAAAAAAAATATGTCTTGGATCCAGCACAGTGTTTTTATGGGCAGAATCCAGGAATAGCATTTCAGGGGGTACTTTGGGCTGCTGTGGGAATGGGGAGGTCTTGGGCAGAAATCCACCTTCATTAATAGGGTGCTGGATCCAAGCCATGGTATTAGTTTCTATATAATTGCACTCCAAAATCTGAAATGTTTTGTCATGTATGTGTTCAGCCAAATTTACAGTGCAATCCTAAGCAGAGTTAGACCCTTCAAAGTCGATTGAAGTGATTCAATAGATAATGTAACTATTAGTGGGGCAAGCTATTTCCTTCCCTGCTTTATAAGAAATTATTATTATGGCTAAAGGACAAAGTTACTTTGGGACAAAAGCAAGTTGAATTTCGAACAGTTGACCATTGCCATACTCTTCAGTTTATTATAGACAAATATACCAGCTCAAAGGATGGCATGTTGGCTGTGGCCTTTATGGATCTTAGAGCTGCCTTTGACTCAGTGCCAAGGCAAAGATAGGGGATAAGCTGAAGAAATAATCTATTGATAAGTGTCTCTCATTTTTGATTCAACAATTATACGATCGGCCTACAGCTCAAGTAAGATGTGGTCCATCTGGTAAACTGACTGCAGTTATTTATCAAACAAATGAGTGAAGCAAAGATATAGTCTTGCTCCTCTGGTATTTAAATTGTATATCAGTGATATAAGTTCTTATATTCCAGTGAATTCCATCTGCCTTATCTAGCTCATGTTAAGTTGCTGTGTCTTTTGTATGAAGATGAAACAGCTCTTCTCTCAAAATCCATGATTGTCCTATGTAAATGTTTAGCCACCTTTTCAGAGTATTTTTCCAAAAAAGGGCCTATTAATGTTTCTGAGTCAAAGGTCCTTCTCTTCAGCAAAAAAAGATGGACAAGGAAATATAAGTGGGCAGCAGCAGGTCAGCCAATGGAGCAATCAGAACAATTTAAATACAGCGAATCTTTCTTGGAATTTGCATGTTCTGCAGCGGTTAAAGCATTTGATACTAACGTTTTCGGACAGTTATTGTATGTTGTAGGGGTTTGGATTAGTGTGGCAGCAGATAATATTGATGGATCATTACTAAGATTTTACACAATATCCTGGGAACTACAAGATGTGTGGCATGAAAAGCTTTGAGAGCTGAGAGGCAGTTATTGTATGTTGTAGGGGTTTGGATTAGTGTGGCAGCAGATAATATTGATGGAGCATTACTAAGATTTTTACACAATATCCTGGGAACTACGAGATGTGTGGCAGGAAAAGCTTTGAGAGCTGAGTCTGGGGAGATGTTTTTTGAAGCAAAGTCTTGTTGTAGAGCATTTACTCTGAAAATTAAGATATTGAAATAGAGTTTAAAATCAGGTCTTCTTGAATTAGTTATGCTGGATAATCATACAAATCACTGGAAGAAATACTTGGAATTTAAATTATCATGTCTGGGCATTAACAATAATGTGATAGAAACTTTGAGTAGTAGTGAATTGAGTCAGTCAATTAAAAGACATTTGAGGGATCTAGATTAAAAGAGTATGCTGGTTAGAGCACAGAGAGTTATGTTCATCCTTTTCAGTTGTTATTCTTCCCCCAACAAACGATGTGTTTGAACTATTTTTTTCAAAGTATTAGAAGGGCATTTATGCTTGCCCATTTGAGTGTCCTGCCATCAGTGGTGCTGTTAGGAAGATTTAATAGTATTCCATACTCTGATGTGGTACTAACCAAATTGACTCTATAGATGATATTCTTTTGGATTGCCCTGAATTTTCAGATTTGAGAGCTGAATTGATTTTTCCTTTGCTTAAGCAGGACTGTATCTCTTTAGAAGCTAAACCTTCTTGGTTACTAAGAGATGAAGATTAAAAAATAACTTTCCATGTAGCAAATCTTAGGCTTCCCTTTTAGTCTGTGATGGCTTGCTGTTCATGACTTTTGTCGTAAAAACAGTAATGAAGAAGAAGAAAATAGGTGTCAACTGAAATAACAATATAACTTGGAACAGTGTAACTCTGTTTAGGATTGCATTGTTAATCCCCCACCCCCCCTTCTCCCCAGCATTGTCTTGCAGCTTCAACCTTTTGCAAAAACTACTCCAGCTCAAAGGTTTAGTTTCATACTGCTTTGACTCTTTTATCCCTGTCTTTCTCGTTTCTGATTGGTCATTTTGGCAAGCTGTAAATGCATCTTTCTTCACACGGCTGGTTGTCAGCGTGTTGTCCTCCCTTGAATAGAAGAGGAAGAAGAAGAGAAGAGATTGGATGTATACCCCGCCCTTCACTTGGAGTCTCAGAGCGGCTTACAAACTCCTTTCCCTCCCCCTCCCCACAACAGACACCCTGTGAGGTGGGTGGGGCTGAGAGAACTCTGACACAAACTGCTCTTTTTCAAGGACAGCTATGCCAGAGCTTGTGACTGACCCAAGGTCACATCAGCAGGTGCAAGTGGAGGAGTGGGGAATCAAACCCGGTTCTCCCAGATTAGAGTCCGCACACTTAACCACTATTTTCCATTGAATATTTGATTATCTTGTGTGTGAAATGAACAAACACATCAGATTATCCAGGCTAGCAGAAGCATTTTGAGGATGACTTTAGTATCAAATACAAAGGTGTATGATTGTATGTTTTTACCAAAATGCATCAATATAGTTATAGATATATAAACCGGAGCACCTATATGTAACAGCCTCTCCTTTCTGTTTCATTTAGGAAGTGTCAGCTCGAGGATCATCGTCACAGCTCCCTAAATCTTTTGATCCTGAACCAGAAGCTAAATATGGCACTCTGGATGTGACTTTTGACTATGACTCGCAGGAACAGAAGCTTCTGGTAACAGTAACAGCTGCCACAGACATTCCTACTTATAACAGAACAAGTGGAAGTTCATGGCAAGTACACCTGGTTCTTCTTCCTATCAAGAAGCAGAGAGCAAAAACCAGCATGCAGCGGGGTCCATGCCCTGTCTTCACAGAGACATTTAAATTTAATCACATTGAATCTGAGATGATTGGGAATTATGCAGTACGCTTTAGACTGTACAGTGTACGCCGTATGAAAAGAGAGAGGATTCTAGGAGAAAAGATATTTTATTTAACCAAATTAAATCTTCAAGGGAAGATGTCAGTACCAGTGATACTGGAGCCAGCATACAGTATTTCCGTGAGTATTAAATCAAGGAGAATAAGTGTGGAATGACATAAAATGCTTTTAAATTAAACGCTTACTTATACCATTAGTAATTAAAGTTCTGGCACATTTGTCAGCTGTGTGATGGGTTAGAAGACCTTTCTGGTCACTTCAGTGTTAGATTTCATAGGCAAGTTACTTTTCAATTTTATGTATTATCATCTGTTTCCTTCCCTCTTGTCATGACCCAAGCCTCCATCAGTGACCAAAACACAGACTCCCATGCCAGTAAAAATTGGAGGCCCCTGAAGTTTGATGGCAGAGAAGTGCCAGATAATATCTCCAAAACTGACCAAAAATCTCCAAAAATGGACAAGAGCCCTCTGAGCTAGAACCCTCTAAGATATCATCCTACAACCTGGATCCCCCTGAGGAGTCACTTCCCTTGGCCAGGGGCCTCACAGCCCCCAGCCCTTCCCTTGCCAGAGCTGACCAAATGCCTGCCTACAGTTAACACAGCAGTCTTGGCATGCAAGGCTGAAGGTAAGGAGCTTTAAGGTTTTCTGTTCTTTAGAGAGGTAGCAGAACCTGCGATAGCAAGGCACATGGCAGGAGGGATATGAGAACTCACTTGGACTTAGGAGCTACTTGGAACAAGTAGTCTACTCCCTGGGAAGTAGCAAACTAATTTATGCAGTAGCCAAATCGCTCGCTCACAACTTAAATGCCAGTAGCTCACAAAGTAGAATTTTTGGTCACAAGACTCCACAGCTTAGAGGGAGCATTGATCTGGAGCCTGCCTACCCTTTTCTGCTTCAGTGTCATTCTTTAGTTTCTGACTTAAGTCTGGGTATAATCCTTTCTACTGAGCAGCCCTATGTATTTAACCACCTATTGAATGTTCTGTCCTCACAGGTGACTTCAGCTCACTGTCTGAGTCAGACCAACCCAACCTGTCTGCATATTCAGCCCCTTTAGAACTGGACACCCCATACCAATTCAGACTCCTTTAAAATGGCCATAGTCATTATATTCAACTATTTTTGAATTTTCACTATGAAAGTTTTGTCCGCAGCTGTATAAAATTACACACACATAGTAATCACCCTTTTTATTACTCATTGTGTTCTATATCTAATTCCCAACTTGGCTCCATCTGCGGATACTGAATTCCATGAATTGGAGCCAGGTGGAGAGAAGGAATATTTGCCCACAAATTTAGGGTGCCCCCCAGGGTTGCAGAAAAATCTAAAAACTTTACCAAAATCGATGGGGGTCTTTAATCCCCCCCCCGAACCTCTCTCCACATGTGCATGACAGCAGCTGCTGCTGGGAGTTCCATCTCTGCCCAGAAGCCCATAAGACAGTGGGAGGGCTTCTAATGTCCTGGCCCCACTGGTGGACCTCCTGATGGCACTGGTATTTCTGGCCACTGTGTGATACAGAGTGTTGGACTGGATGGGCCTTTGGCCTGATCCAACATTGGCATCTCTTATGTTCTTATGTTCTTAAGAGGTGGCTGTGAGTAGCAAGTTTTCAGTAGAAAAAAGATGACAGAGACCTGATTTAAAAGGAATATAGAGTTTATTGAGGGATTTGGTACAATAGTGTGTGTGTGGGGGGGACTTATTCTAAGCATATGCTAGGGATACTGAATCAAAGTACAGACAAATTACTTATTGTAACTAATACAGCAGCAACAACCAAACATTCAGCAGAGCTACTCCAAATTGGAGCAGGATTTACTCTTTGAGCTAAAAGTGTACATGTGGGGAAATGGGGAATAGGACAGAGGAGAAGAGGTGTCCAGTCTCCCAGATGTGAGGGTCTGAAGAGTAGAGAGGAGCAAAGTGAAGTGTAAGGGTGGTTTGGAAAGGGGAATAGATCAAAGAGGGAGAGCAAAAATTACTTGTCCTATTCTGCAAAGAAATCAGATGAAAGAAGGAGGGATCCAGTGTGTGTGTCTCTGTTGCAGTTCAGTTGGTATCAAGGTTTAGATTCCAATTATTGGCTCTACAGCCTGGCTAGTTATACTGGTTTGGGGTGATAGCATAAAATGGGTTCTTTTCAGGAAACAAAATATTGTAACAGAGGATAAAGGAATACTTGATAGTTGGGCAGCTTATCAGGAGAAAACTATAGAACTGACTAAATGGTACCAGGGAAGAGCAACAGCACTAGAATATTTTGATTGAATTATAACTCAGGATTATAAAACTGGAGACATGAAGCTGAGTAATATATTTGGTAGGAGCTTTGAGGAGAATGGGAAGATTTGAATTGGAGGTTCCATTCGAATGGTGTTAATGGTCAGTGACTGCATGTCATGTAAAAGGCACTACGCAGCGGTGTCAAACATGTGGCCCGGGGGCCAGATCAGGCTCCTGGGGAGCTTCTATCAGGCCCGCAGTGGAACTGGCTGTTTTCTGCTTTTTCCAGTTCTGCTGCTGCTGCTGTGTCATTGTAGGTTTGCAGCTTACAGATACACACCTGAACAGCATACTCAAGATTGCAAGAGCACAGAAATTTTGATGTAATAATTCAGAGCAAGAAGTGTCAGTTATCAGAAACTGTTAAATAAACAAAATATTGCAAGAGTGCTAATGTTTTAAGCATGTTTTTATTTTAAGTAAAAAAGACCTTTTGTGTTTGTGTCCTTTATAAAGTTTATATCTCTGCTCCCTAGCATTACATTTATGACACACATAGCCCGGCCCAACAAGGTCTCCTTTATGTCCTTTATGTCAGATCTAGCCCTCATACCAAATGAGTTCGACACCCCTGCACTACAGGAAGATGCATCTTTGTCTTCTAACCTGGCTTAATTGCTGTTGTCCTTTTGGCACTCCCTGATTTCTTCCCAAAAGGCTTCCTTGGTAGCATTTGCTGTGGTGGTTGTTGCAAGATCCTCTGCTATGTTCACTGCTGCAAGGTTCTTTGTGAGTCACAAAATATAGCAGATGGTCCCCATGTTCTCTGCGTACCTTGTGGGCCTTGCCCACAGTGTTACATATGCAGTACATACATTCAGACTAGGAGGGAGGGTATCAGGATGAAGTGAGGAGGAGGCTGGCAACACCACCATCATTTTGGGTTTTCATTTCTTGGTTAGGCTTGTTCATTAATGTGCTTTTTGCATGCTTCCTGTTCAGAAATGCTTCATTCTGTAAATTTCTGCTGTCCTTGGTGTAACTGCTACTTGCCCAAGTTGAGCAAGAAACTTTCAAACTGCACCTTCTGTGCTTTTCATAATTGTGTTTCTCATGTTACTCCTATGATGCTGTACACCAGTATTTCCCAGCCTGGAGGTCAGGGACCCCAGTAGGGCCGCAGAGTTATGGTGCACTAAGCATTGTCAGTTTGATCTTTTTGTCATTATGTATTTTCTTAATCCCCCTCATGGATCACTGCCTTGTCATGGCGAGGGGGCTTGCGTGGTTCGATGAGGCTGTGGGCTATGCCGTGGAGGGCCACCCAAGACAGACAGGCCACAGCAGAGAACTCAGACCAAGTGTGATCCCCTGGAGAAGGAAATGGCAACCCACTCCAGTATTTTTGCCAAGAAAACCCCATGGACAGTATCAAAAGGCTAAAAAGATATGATGCCGAAGATGAGCCCCTCAGGTCGGAAGGTGTCCAATAAGCTACTGGGAAAGAGCAGAGGGCAAGTACAAGTAACCCCAGAAAGAGTGAAGTGGCTGGGCCAAAGCCAAAAGGATGCTCAGGTGTGGATGTGTCTGATGGTGAAAGGAAAGTCCAATGCTGCAAAGAACAATACTGCATAGGAACCTGGAATGTAGGATCTATTAATCAAGGTAAGCTTGACGTGGTCAAAAATGAGATGGCAAGACTGACCATCGATATCTTAGGAATCAGTGAACTAAAGTGGACAGAAATGGGTGAATTTAACTCAGAAGACCATTATATCTACTACTGTGGCCAGGAATCTCGTAGAAAAAAGGGTGTGGCCTTTATAGTCAATAAGAGAGTGCAAAAGTCAGTACTGGGATACAATCTCAAAAATGACAATGATTTCGGTCCGATTCCAAGGCAAACCATTCAACATCACAGTAATCCAAGTCTATGCCCCAACCACTGATGCAGAAGAGGCTGAAGTGGACCGGTTCTATGAAG